CTGAAGGAGCAAAATACAGAGTTATGCCAGACTTTCCAGACTCAACTTTTTGATTTTGTTCCCAGTGGAAGATTGGAGGCACACTGAGCTGCTGTGCTCTGAGTGCCCACCCTGTGTGGCTGTAGTGGTCTTTTCAGGACTGGTGGTCTTGGAATACAAGATCTGCTTTTTTTTCTTTTGAAAGTGGGTCTGGTATGGCTGTGTTGCTAGCCAAGGGAAGTACCTCTGTGCTCTGGGAACGGGATGATGTGGCACACAGGTTTAAAAAGGTGCTGCTGTGCAACATGGTTTCACTTCTAGTCCCTACCTGTGGAGTAGCCCACTACTCAAATAGCAGGACTGGTGCAGGCATTGGCTCATGTATCTTTCTCCAGCAGAGGCTAAACCTGCTGTCAGCGTGGAGCTGTGCTCTGTGTACTCAGTTCTCACTCTTCAGATCCTGTCTGCATCTTTCCAGACTTCATTAACTAGATGAATGCTCTCATTTTCTTCCCTTCCACATGCGTTCTGTGAGTGTGAGTTGGTCAATTCTTAGTTACAGCATTTTCCCAAACCTTAGACATACTTTAGTGCTAAGTGCTAGTGTTACTTACTGAAGGTGAGGAGAGGGGTGTCACCAGCTGCAAGAGCCCAGGAAACCTGCTGGTAGCTGTATGCCTTTAACCTAGTCAACGTGCTGGCAACTGAGTACAGAAAGTTGGATATTCTTGTCCCATTTTAGCTGACTTACTTGTTCAGCTCTGGGAAGCTCCCAGTCCTGAGAAATTTCAGACCCAGGTGCCTCCAGTCCCTCCCTTAGGGAACACTCATGCTCCTGGGTGGTCTCAGCTTCAGCACTCCCCAGGCATCTGCTTCCAGATCCATCGAGTCCCTTTCTATACTGGCCAGTAGAGAGGTTCACAGCACTGATGCTGTTGCAGGAGGTGGAAATGTCAGCACATGACCAGTGTCCCTGTGGAAGCCAGAGAACTGGATACTATATCTACGTGTGCCTCTCATTCCTCTTAAGCCTGAACAAAGCACTGAACAAGGCAGATAAAGAGGCTTTTTTTGTGGGACAGACAAGGGAGGTACTTTTTCCTGCATTGAGCACTTACCTAGGCAGTTCCCAGGGGACTATAAATCTCTTGTCTCTCAGATGTTGCGATAACGACTCTGCTTGCTCAAGGAGTGCCCTTGTCTGTGGTAAGAGCGTGTGTGAAACCAACCCACTGCTGGTTTAAAGCTGAGATCATGTACTGCCACCCTGTGGGCCCAGTGCAAGGCTGCTGCGGCAGGACCCACTTCTGTGTTGTGCAGTTGTTGCGGTGGAAGAGGCAGAATTAACAAGGATGTAACTTCATACAGGACCCAGACTTAAGTGTCTGCAGTGCTGGGTGCCTGGTTCTTCCCATAGTCTGGGCATCTGTGCCATGGGAAACACCCAGGGCTTGCTTTAGGAACAGCAGCGTGAGGAGTCTGCTCTGCGTAGGAACACTACTGGGAGTGGTATTTGGCCACTCTGTCACTCCCTCTGGTCTGCCTAGTATTTGGGTGGTGCATAATGGGCCAAGTCTGAAAAGCCATGTAGCTGCTAGGAGTGCTGGGCTTTCTGAAGGGAGCTAAAGGTCAAAGCCCCTCATCTTGTTTGTGCTAATTAGCTACCTAATTAATGATGAGCTGGCCTGCTTTGTTCCTGTCCTGAGGTAGCCTTAAGCCTAACCTGCTTCTTTCTCCCTTCCTCCCTTTTCTTGCTATTGACCTGCTTGCCTGTTAACCCCGTGTGCACCACACTTGCTGCTATACATCTACTTCTTGACTTCCTGCGTGTGACTGGACCCCGCCTGTAGCATCAGGTAGGAAACCTCCCCGTGCTTCTCAGCCCAGCCCTTAGTGCTTACAGGAGGCTTAGAGTCTGGATTCTGTTAGACGCATGTTAGGTTAGTTTTGGAACATTACTTTAATGACTGAAGTCATTAAGAAGCAGTCTTTGGGGACTAGCTGTCTTGTGGCCCTAGGGCCCTCATGTTGGATAAGGGTGTGGCCTGGCCTGTCAGCTGCTGCTCTGCTTAACATGGGTTGATGTGACAGTCTGAGACATGATTTGAGTGTCATTGGTGGAGCCAGTGCCTCCCTGCACCTAGATGTAGCCAAAGGGACCAGCTAACAAAATGGAAGAACCTTTCCCACTGTTGTTACGTTCCATTTTTAGTTAGACACAGGATTGTCTCTATTGATGGGAGAATGACCAAATCATGGCGGGGTGTGACGGCACCCATATCTAAGTGTCAAAACCAGTAGCGTGTAATAAATGGTAAGCAGTTGCTCTTGATTTTAGAGCAAGGTTTCTTAGTCTTTGATTTTATCTAGTGGTCTAAGATGTCATTTCTTCCCTTCAGACTAAGGAAGAGCAGTCCCAGATCACCAGCCAGGTGACTGGACAGATTGGATGGAGACGTGAAGGGATCAAATATCGTCGTAATGAACTCTTTCTTGATGTGCTGGAGAGTGTGAATCTCTTGATGTCCCCGCAGGGTAAGTAGGAGGTGTTGAGCTGGCATCCTTCTCCGCTTTAAGGTTTGTGAGTGGAGACTTACTGAGTGTTCTGAACTGCATTCCTCTCTACACCAGGTCAGGTTTTGAGTGCCCATGTCTCTGGCAGAGTGGTGATGAAGAGTTACCTGAGTGGAATGCCAGAGTGCAAGTTCGGCATGAATGACAAGATTGTCATTGAAAAACAGGGCAAAGGGACTGCGGATGAAACGGGGAAAAGGTAAGAGGCACTGGGGTAAAAGCCACTTGCCACCAGGGACTCTTATGAAAGGGCAGCACTCGATAGCTTTTCTGATCTGACGGACAAAGCTCATCTTTTCTTCCCTTCAGATGTTACTGCCAACTCTCCTCTGGGTAGGTCAGTTGTCACATGAGCTACCAGCCTGGGGGCTTCAATACAGAGGACTTCTCTACAGCTCTTCAAGTATTAAGATTCAAACAGTGTTGTGTGTGGAGTTCTTGCAGCTGGAAACACTTCCCCAAGATGGATTTTCCCAGAACTTGTGTCTCTAGCAGTTCTAGTCAGTGCAGAGACTCTTATTCATAGGATACAGTAGTAGTGCTCCCAAGGAACAGTGAAGGAACCCCTCTGACCATAGCCTGCTCGACCTGGGCTGTTCACACCAACTAGGACAGCTGACAGACTAACACTGGGTGAGCCCCTACTGCTGACATACAGGTGGTCAGTGGCCGTGTGGATTGGAGGCTCATCCCTTCCGGGAGCCCAGCTACCTTCTTTCCCAGCTGCGCCTCAGTCAGTACCCACACTGAAGCTGAAAACAGGGCTTAGGCCTTTTCCAGCCTTCCTGCTGTGGGTGAAGAGATAAAAGCAAAGGAGCTGCCACTTTTCTCTCACTAACCATTTGCAACTGTGTTTCTCCTGGTTGTTTGGGGTTTTTTTGTGTTGTGTTTTTTTTTTTTTGCTGACCCCCAGTGAATTGGGAAGGTAGATAATCTGCTTCAGCTATGTGCGCTCTGCTCTCCCCTTGTCTCTTGCTTTGTGTGACTTGTGCATGTAACTTGGATCTCAGACACTTTCCATGGTGGTTCCTGCAGACGGAGCTGAGCTGCTGTTTGCCTTTTCTCTCAGAACCAAGCCAAGAGCTATCACTCCACTGTCACCTTTCAAGCCATCTTTCCTATACATGAATCTAGCTAGTAAAATGGATGAACCTCAGGTGGCTGCCAGTAGGGATATACTCTAGTGAAAATGTCATCTGCGTAGGCCTCTGGAGAGTCAGTAACACTGTCCCAGAGCTGCTGTGCTGTGGGTGCCTTTGCCTGTAAATGTGCTATTTTTCGAGTTACAAAAATGGACAGGGACTCTTGCTAGGTGGTTCTCCCTAGTTGTGGCTCTCCAGTGGGCAGGATGTTGCACTCCAGAAGCATTTAGTTATGAGGTGACCAAAAGGGACAGCTGCTGTCAGTTGCTTTTTGGCATCTAGCATGTGGCAACGCCAAACTTTGAGCAATACTGCCTGAGACCTGGAGTAGTGCTAGGCACCAGGGATTTTCCAGCAGTTTTCAAAGGAACAGGAACTAGTCAGCTAACATTGGCTTTCATCTGGGCAACAAGTTAAAGACTAACTCCTACTTATGAAGCACAGGCTGCACCGCTGGGTTGTGTAATGAAACAGCCAGTCAGCCTGGGGTCAGTCAGCTTCCCGTTTGTGCAGGTAACGGTGGTTCCTAGGGCAGCTGAACCTGCCTGTAGTGGTTATCTCAGCACACTTGCATGGTTGTCCTGTTGCTCCCAGGAGCGGAGGCAGCCTAGATATCACAGTGCTACACTGCTGCACCTTCTCAACACTGCTGCCGCCTCTGTTGCCACTGCCTTCCCATTTTCTGGTCCCTCTTGGGAGCTGAGAGTTCTTGGCTGACCTCAAGATCTGTAGCAAGGAAGGTATTCTTGGAGACTAGAGCCCAGCCCAAGCTCAGTGCTGGCAGGTTAGGCTAGTGCACCTAGATGGACAGGTGGCAGCTGTGGAGACTTTTAGAAGTGAGTTACAAACTTTTATGGCATAATATTGTGGTCTTTGGCAAATTGGTTCAGAATCAAACCGCCTGCTAGCAGTGTGGAAATCAACAGCTGTGAAGAGATTTCTGAACAGGAAGACCCTGAACCTGGTATCTCCTGGCTGTGTGGCAGTGGGATAGCTTTGTGGACAGGAAAGTGTTTTCTCTACTTTGTGCTGCGAGAAGACTTGGGCTAGCAGAGTTGCCTTGCAGTACTGAGGTGCGGCTGGCAGGCAGACCCAAGTGTTGTGTTGCTGGCTATGACAGAAGGGTGCTCCTCTAATCTCTCTTCTCTTTGGGGAGAGAGTTCTTTCAAACAAGCTTCCTGAAATAAGATTGTGGTGGTGGTGAAACAAGGAAAATCTGAGCCAAGAGGCTGCTGTCCCCTCGGTCTCTCCCTGCCTCCCCATTTCCTGGACACCTGCGATGGCAACATGCTCTGTAGAGTAGTTTCTGCCTGGGCAGACTTTGACTGCACCGAGATACCACGGCTGCAGCTTGTACTTGCTCAACTGTGTGTCTTGTGTTTTTAGTGGCAAACAGTCAATCGCCATCGACGACTGCACTTTCCACCAGTGCGTGAGGCTCAGCAAGTTTGATTCTGAGAGGAGCATCAGCTTCATTCCGCCAGACGGAGAGTTTGAGCTCATGAGGTACTGTGGTGGCGGATGAACAGGCTGGTGTTGGCATCGGCTTGCTGCTGCTGTAGTGTTGCTGCTCTCAGGCAGACGTGCAGCCCTTGAGCACCTAACAAATACACACTTGCCTTCTTGTTAGAGTGGGATCTGTAGGGTGTCCCACGGATCATTCTGATACAAATGTAGAAGCCAAGCTGCATGGTTCTCTTTGCCACAGCCGTAGTGTTGGGTGTGGGTTTCCTTACCCTTTAGCTTGTATCTGGCTTTTTAATGCTTAAGACTGGTGTCCTTAAACAGGGCCATTGGTAGGGAACCAGATACAAAACTTGGACTCAAGAAACATCACTGCCCTACAGCAGCACAGATCTTACTGGTGCTTCCTTCTGGGATGGCTCCCTTTCTGGCTGATGTTTCTGAGCTGTTCCCTGTGTGCAGAGGCTGTCTTTCTAGGAAGGTGGTACAATTTGAGACTGTATGGAAGTTAACTCCTCCTCAGAGTTCGCTGTTGTTTCCGTCCCTGCAGATACCGAACCACTAAGGACATTATCCTTCCCTTCCGTGTGATCCCACTGGTGCGGGAGGTGGGTCGGACCAAACTGGAAGTGAAGGTTGTGATCAAGTCAAATTTCAAACCTTCCTTGCTGGCCCAGAAGATAGAGGTAAGAGAATAAAAACCTATGGTCTCTTGTGCCTGGGAACTGTGGCTCTACTTTATGATCCCTGCTGTGTAGTCCTCACAGATGAGTCCTCAAGCTTGTACAGGACTAAGAGAGTGAACTGAATGCCCTGCAGATGTTTGGTGCTGCTGTGCTGTGGAAGGGAACTGCTGTAGAGTGGGGAGGTGGAAGTTGTTTTCAGTTGCACACCTGCCTTGGCAGAGGCCTCATTCCCTGCAGCAACTCTTCTATTAATGTCTTGGCAACTGGGAGAAGTTAATATTCTTCTGTTTGCGTGATCTGGTGGCATGTCAGACAGGCAGCAGGCAGGTTAAGGGCGGCTTTGCAGCTTAGTCTGCTTCTGGGAAAGGCTTACTGCTGCAAGGCTGGGCTCTCTAGAGCCTGGTGCAGGCAGACCTCCCTGGCCAGCCTGGCATCCTTCCTGAGCTCATCTGCCCGACACTAGCCAGGTTTCCTGCAGCCCGAACTGGAGAGCTCTGCCCTGTTCCTCACTGGCTGATTCTGAAAATGTGTTTGAACCTTTACTTCAAAGCCAGACAGTGGAGAGCTAGCCTAGGATGCCTTGTGGTAGCTGATGTTCTCTGGGCCCTGAGATGGGCTAGAGAAGACCAAGGGGTCCGGGACAGGTGGTCTTCCCCTGAGACTGCACAGCATGCTCAGGCCGCAGTCTCCTTGCCCCTGCTCACCAGGCTCTTCCCTTCCAGGTCCGGATCCCCACGCCCCTCAATACCAGTGGAGTGCAAGTCATCTGTATGAAAGGGAAGGCAAAGTACAAGGCCAGTGAGAATGCCATTGTCTGGAAGTAAGTGAGTGCATTGGGTTTGGGGTGCTGCAGGGGCAAGGCTCGGGGAGGCAGAGTCTGTTTCGTGCTCCTGTCTGCCCTGAGCCACCCCTCTAGTGAAGGGGAGAATAAACTCTAGCACCTGCTCACTTCTGGGCCTTCTCCGATAGGATAAAGCGTATGGCTGGAATGAAGGAATCCCAGATCAGCGCGGAGATTGAACTGCTGCCCACCAATGACAAGAAGAAGTGGGCTCGGCCCCCTATCTCCATGAACTTTGAGGTTAGTCCCTGTCTGCCTGCCAGGGTGCGGCTAGCCTTAGAGAAGCTTTATCAGTCCATTCCCTTCTGCCGTCATGGGTGTTGCACAAGCTGGAGTGCTCCCTGTCCCAAGCTGACATGTGACTCTTCCTAACGCCAGGCCAGCCAAGTGACAAAGCTCATGGAAGAAAACTGCCCTTAAAGCCACTAGAGTCTGTCACTGTGTGGGCAGGGAGTTGGGAAGGGAACAGTGGCTCTTGGTGTCCATTTCTAGATGCGTAGCCCAGGGGTCCTCTGGCATTTGGGTGTGGCGAGCGGCTTTGCCCCCCTGGG